CTACCTCTGAGTGATCGATTGTGATTCGATAGGGGTACTAACGTTCTTTCCTTCAGGTTAGTGTCAGTTCTTTTTTTTTCCAGACATCAAGCCAGTAAAATAGTTGTCTTTTCGATCTCCAAAAAAAAAAAAAAAAAAAAAAAATTGGTGCAGAACGGGAGCACTTCAGCTCACTTTGTAGAAGTTCACTATGTGATCAGATTAGGCTACTTTACTTCAAAATCAGATCTTTGGAGCACTGGTTTACCAGGTGTCGTCATCATCTGCTCTAATTCCAACCACCATGTTAGTTCCTCTCCCTAAGTATTTTATGTTCAATTGCTTTAAGTTCTTTTAGTCAAATGATGTGCTGTGACATTTTCAGTTTTGCTATGTTGGATGGCCTCCAGTAATTCTAAATATTGAATTCCAGTTTTCTATGTATGCTGAAACTCTTATTGTGATGTTATACAGTTTTCTAATGGTGCACAGTTGAAGGTGCCGGCTATCTGGGTGGAATTTCAATCTTCGTGTGCTTTATGGTTGCTCGTGTGTCCTGGCCTGTCTTTTGCAATTGTGCCTCGCAAGTGATGCCATGGACTGGTTTGCTGTTGGTATATGAGTGGACTTCACACTCTTCTTTCTTTTATTTGGAGGTTTTCTCCATTTGATTATCAATGGGGAAGGACGTGGCATTCCAAGCAGGATCCTTCTCTTCTCATAGAGCCTTTTGATGATGACTCTGGAAAGGTGTGTTAATTTTCACTTGTACGAGGGGTGGTTTAGTGGGTTAGAATAAAAGATGCCAGTGCTTTTGAATGAAATACACACTGTGGTTCCTTTCGTTTTTGTCTTAACTAGAGTTGTTACTTTTTGTATGGTTTCAGGTCATCAGCGGCAGGCATCGGCTTGTGATTTTGTTACATGGTATTACGGAATGGGATGGCATTTTTGGCTGTAGCTGTCCCTTCTTTACCATTTTTATTGGAATCACAGCTCTGTTTTGAGGTAATTTTGCTTTGAAATGGTTTGCATTGTGATGGTAATGTGATGATTTTGTTGTTGTGGTTTTTAAACAAATGGAATTTGGAAGACAACAAAATGTGCAGGTTGCAGCATTGATTCCTGTAACTTGCTTGTGATAATGATTTCAGTGGGAATTGAAAACTTAAGTTAGGTGACATTTCTTTGGTCTTGTTTGATAGATTAAAGAGAACAAGAACTAAGAAAAGGTATTATGTCCATTTGAGCAGGTTAGGATGATGTTGCGGGAGGCATAGTTTTGGCATCTTTCATGACATACGCTTCAGAGCACCTTGCAATTAGGTCATTTTTTAGAGGCTCGAAGACCGGGACTCACACGACCAGGGATGCATGTTTTATGCTGACAAAGGCTTCAAAGTGATATGTAAGTTAAAGCAATGTATTTTCTGTAATTCATTTAAATGTAAAATATTGCAGAATAATTTTCAGTTAGATTGCCTTATTCATCAGGTTTTTTTGTATATTCTTTAGAATCAAATTTTTTTTTTTTTTTTTTTTTTCACAATCAGTTTTCCTCAAGAGTTTTATTGTCCTTGTGAGTAGAATAGAATAGGTTAAGGTTGGTTATGATGAATTGAAAATGGGGTCAAATAAGTGGGTGCACGCCTAGATTATTCCAATTGAAAGAAACTCCATGGAAAAAAAAACAAAGAATGAATCATATGGAGTTGTTTGTGTCAGGAACGTGACACTTTAATGTTGAAATACTAGCTGTTTTGGAAACCGACAATGGCTGCTTGTCTTTGGAGTTTGTCAATGATGCTGAAAGGACAATATAACGTGACATTTTTGTTTGTCTTATAAGCTTTTGGGCGTATGACCTACCCATTGTTGTAAGAGTAGAAGCTTGGAAAGAGACTTCCAAAATCAAAAGCATTCTGAACAATAAATATCGGTAAATAATCTAATCTTTAAGTTTTTTCTCAAAACTTCAACATGACAGTAACAGAATTAGATAAGAGGGATTTATTGGGAGCAATGAGATCTAATGTAAGTAATCAATTGTGAGTATACGTTAGGAGTTATAAGAAAAAATTTGAGATTGGGTTGTAAGTGTAGTATTGTCCATTCCAAAAGATACTAATATACAGTATATTCACACTTTTTGGCCTCCCATTTTAAACATTCAGCAAGGCACATCATTTCAAAATATAATCTTACTTTGTAACTATCGGATTAATATTGAACATTTTAGGTTCTAATCAGTGGCGGATCCAGCCACTTGGCCCACCTTCAATTTTTTTTTTTTTATATTATATTAAATGTAAATTAATATTTTGGCCTACCCTAAAAAAAAATAATGGACAAAAATAGTAATATATAATAAATTTTTTTTTGGCCCACCTAAAAGAAATTCCTGGATCCGCTACTGGTTCTAATCCCAAATTCTTTACAAAATTAGGTTCATTAGCATAATAAACCTTCTCTATATGCAAGTGTCATTCTCGGCCACCATTGGGTGGTATGATAATAAAAGAGCAAAGGGAGGTTTTATGAGCTTTTGAGTTTGAGTTTTCTCATCTTAACCAGTAATAGAGGTGGTCAGTGGCTATTGGGACTTTTGACCAGTAGTTTTAACTTTCAAGACCTTGAAAGATTGTGAGGTATGCGTAAGTTGGCTTGAACAGCTCAAGTGATCATCATTCTCAAATTTTATTACAATGTTTATTGACAAATTACAAGTATTCACGTTATTTGTATTTGATACGATAAAATATTAAAATTATAGAGCATTAATACCGATATATGAGTAATGTTACAGTTACCGAAAGGAGCGTACCAATTTATGCATGAATGACGTGATGTAATTTGACCATGATTAATATTAATTCATAATTAATCAACGGAGAATTGTGTCACGTCACTTCGATGCACTACTTTCTATTGAAGTATTATTTTCCCAAATTATTAAACTCACAACAATTGACCATCCAACTTAGCCAATAGCCACCACACTGGTGAAGTCAATGGAGGATGATAATTTTCTGTTGGTAACAGAATAACGGATTAAAAAGCTTTCGGGTCACCTCCCTTTTTGCTTTACAAAATCAATAAAAAAACAGCAGCCTCCTCTCCATTAGCAGCAATGCATGCACCCATATATTAAAGATTCAAAGTTTCTTCACAAAAACCAATTAACCTAATTTTTTTAACATATTAGAAGGACGGCAACCCACAGCAAAAAGAAATAAATAATTAAAAATCTAAAGTGGATATCACCATTTCCACTAGTACTAATATCCAAGTCAAAAGCCAGTGGGTATCAAATTTCTCTTGAAAATCTTTTCTATTTATTTATTTTATGATCTGGATATCCAAACCGTTCTACATATTTTAACTAATCACTGGGATAGTGGAACTATCGTTAGGTGCGAGTTTATGTCACCCTTAGTAGAACTGTGGAAACCATTATGCAACTTAACTAATCATCGAGATACTGAAATATCGGTTGGGTACGAGCTTTAGTGCCACCTCTAATAGCATCTGCGAAAACTCGAACTCGAGAGACCATGTTAAATTCTTCTTGCTCTTTTACCCTCAATAAAATTAAATTTGGGATATTATATTATATCATCCTCTTCCTTTTACTATAGACCACCATTGATGGTTAAAATCTTTTTCTTCTTCTTCAGTTTCTGGTGAACTGTCGCTTGAACGAATCCGCACAATAGTGTTAAGACGCTTGAGAATCCACCATTTTGTAGAATAGTATTAACTTTGGTCTTTGATGAGTCATGAACCAATAGAAAAATACTAATTGATGTGTTAATTTTGTATTCTACTTTTTCTTTTTGAGTTGACGTCGTTTTCCCACTGAAAAAAGAAGACACATGTCAACTAACTCAAGTTGGATTAATTATCAAAAGAAAAAAAAAAGGAGACGATGAAAGTTGGACTTTAGTGAGTCCTCATCCTTATCCTGATGAAAGATAATTGCAGAGAGCTACAAATTTGTACCTGTATTCAAGCTCCTTTTTTACATTGGGAAAAAAGATTCCATTGAAAAAACTTCATTTCTTCTATATATTCAAGGGGCAGATGTCCCCATTTGTTGACCAACTATGTCACAAACATGATATCTTCGAGTAAACGACTTTTCCCCATCAAGGTTTGTTAATAAACTTTTGCACCCAAAAGTTCAATATATCATTTCTTACCCAAAGTTTATATTCCATAATACTCAAAATACATTTCACTTTTCAGTCGATGTTCAGCAGAGTTGTCAAGAGCCAAGTTAAGAGAGGTTTTGTAGAGTAGAGGTTAATGGATTGAGTGGTGGGACCATTGAATATGTCACCGGAATCAATAGAAATCAACTAAGAATAGGAAACCCTAACTTTGTAGTGACTGACAATTGCGAGAAATTAGGTATCGAAGTGAAAGGGGTTTTGTAGGGAGAAGACCGGAGGTTCAATGGTGGTGGCGAAGAGAATTTTTGCATCGAAACGGCTTGGGTATTAACAGAATATAAAATTTAAGTGGAAAAATGGTATTTTAAAACTTTTTGGGGGGAAAATGTCATTGAGGCAAACCTTGGGAGGACAAAAGTGTTTTACTTATTTTCTGCGGCGGGAGATCATTTTATTTGAAAAACTTCTATTTCTGTGGACTACTCTTTTTGGATTCCTTGTCTTACCTGGTAAAGTGATTACGATGTGTGGATTGTTTGGAGCATGTTCTCTTTATTTTGTTTTTCTGGGAGAAAGTTTTTTTCCTTAGTTTCTTTGTTCTATGAAAGAATAAGAGCATGAGCTGTTGTGTTTTACTGGATTTTTAAATTAAAGCTCATTTTGTTGATGCATGTAATTTCAGTTTTCTTCTATGTTATATGATGTGTCTAGCATTTAGATTGTTATATATGAGGCTTTTCCCACATTCTTTCAGCAAAGAAATATTAGCTTTTTAATTTCTGCAATTTAAGTTTGAGTTCATCTATCTTTTTTACTTTTAACCAATGAGGTTTTTGTTTTATGCAGTTGTATATCTTGATGCTGATACTATTGTGGTCAAGAACATTGAGGATCTTTTCAGATGTCGAAAATTCTGTGCTAACCTGAAGCATTCTGAGAGGCTAAATTCAGGGGTCATGGTTGTTGAACCGTCAGAAACAGTTTTCAATGATATGATGAGCAAAGTGAACACGTTACATTCATACACTGGAGGTAAGGCATCTATTGTGTGTTGTTGTGGTTATAATCCACTGCCTCTCTCTTTCTAGCAAATTTATGCTTTCATCCAATTTGTTTGGGATGGTTATTCATTAATTGGTTAATTTAACCTTTTAATCTTTGTGTTTTTGCATTAAGAAAAAGCCTAAAAAATGTTGTAAAGTTAAGAATTGACATTTAAAATATCTATGTGTAGCCATGAGTTTCCCAATTTAATTAGTAGGAAAGAAATTCTGGTGAAACCTACGTGGTAACAGCAGTAATGGTGGTTATGTCAGCTGTTTCCATTTAAGAACAAAGCGAGTTGCAATATTTGTGTTTCCAGAATGTTTTCTATTGTATTTGTAATTGGGTTTGCATGAATAATTAATGTTAATTGTCAGTATCCTTGATATTTGAGCTTCACTATGTGTTAGTTACGTTATGCAAATAACATATAGAATGAGTAAAATTATCAGATTACCATGGGTCTAGCTGATGTTCGTATTCAGAAGTTGGACTATGGTATTCCAATTCGAACATGTTGGTTGCCATTGCTTAACCTGTGATGAAATGAACGCTTGTGGTTGTTTGAGTTCATATTGAACAGTCTCTTTCTCTCTTTGTTTCTCTCTAATGTTTCTTATATGGCAGGTGATCAGGGATTTCTAAATTCATATTACCCTGATTTTCCCAATGCACATGTTTTTGAGCCAAATTTATCCCCTGAGATGTTGAAGTCTAGACCTGTTCCTGATATGGAGCGACTCTCTACTCTATACAATGCAGATGTTGGTCTTTACATGCTTGCAAATAAGGTATGAAAATTATAGATGTTAGGATGATTTATGTCATGATGCTGGTATAGTTGAACTATTTTGATGCCATCATAGTAATGACTATATTCTCTTGCACTTTGATCTTCATGTTTAAAAGCAAGTTAAGAGATGGGTGCTATTTCAGAAATGTTGATGACTTGTTTATTTTTGAGGGTTTATTTTTTTTAATTTATTATTATTTTTTTAATTCTTTAACAATTTTTATCTCTATGATGGGCTTTCATATTCATAAATCATTGAAAATTTTGATTAAGCGTAGATAACCTATTAGCATGTAAGGATAAATCACTTACATTACTTATAACTGGACACCAAGATCACGGAAGAAACTTAGTTTGAATACTGAAATAAACACTAACCTGTTTTATGGAATTTCCTATATTTAAATTGTGAAGATCTTTCTTGTTTCCGTTGTTTGGTTGTTATTTATGGCATTCCCTTAAATTAATAAAGCGAGGAATATATCTATTTCATTTACTTTTCTGATTAAAATATCCTTATACTTTTATTGAATTATATATGCAGTGGATGGTAAATGAGACTGAACTCCGTGTTATTCACTATACACTTGGTCCGCTTAAACCTTGGGACTGGTGGACATCTTGGCTATTAAAACCTGTTGATGTCTGGCAGGTATTTCTCTCTACTGCTTTACCTATAATCTGTGCAATTTTTTAATATGCTTTTTCTTTTTATCTGCTTGGTGTTTGTTGGGAAGAGAGAGGATCTGGAGGCTGTTGCATTTTGGTTTATATTGGTTGCGCTGCATGTTCTTATTGTGATCATTACTGTTTTTATTTTATGGTGCTAGTACTGAACTAAGTCTGTATCTTTGTGTAATAGTATCTGAGGTAGAAGTTTATGTTGTCTTTTATTGTTTTATGAAATAAAAAGATACGTCTAATCAGTGCAGTTTCCTCCAATTTTATGATTCAACCTTAGTTTTTAATGCTGTAGGACGTCAGAATAAGGCTTGAGGAAACTCGTCCTGGAACGGGAGGGGGTGGAAATCCAAATGATGATGTTTTGGTCAAAGTCCTTTTCCTGTTACCGCTTTGTGCTCTGCTTTTCTGTTACTACCGTTCTTTCCTTCAGGTTAGTGCTTGCAGTTCATTTTTTTTTTTTTCCAGACATCAAGCCAGTAAAATAGTTGTCTTTTCGATCTCAAAAAAAAAAAAAAAAAAAAAAATAATTTGGTGCAGATACGGGAGCACTTCAGCTCACTTTGTAGAAGTTCACTATGTGATCAGATTAGGCTACTTTACTTCAAAATCAGATCTTGTGGAGCACTGGCTTATAGCAGTGTGTCGTCATCATCTGCTACTAATTCCAACCACCATGTTAGTTCCTCTTCCCCTAAGTAATTTTATGTTCATTATTGCTTTAAGTTCTTTTAGTCAAATGATGTGCTCTTGACATTTCCAGTTTTGCTATGTTGGATGGCCTCCAGTAATTCTAAATATTGAATTCTCAGTTTTCTATGTATGCTGAAACTCTTTATTGTGATGTTATACAGTTTTCTAATGGTGCACAGTTGAAGGTGCCTGGCTATCTGGGTGGAATTTCAATCTTCGTGTGCTTTATGGTTGCTCTGTTGTCCCTTGGCCTGTCTTTTGCAATTGTGCCTCGGCAAGTGATGCCATGGACTGGTTTGCTGTTGGTATATGAGTGGACTTTCACACTCTTCTTTCTTTTATTTGGAGGTTTTCTCCATTTGATTTATCAATGGGGAAGGACTGTGGCATTCCAAGCAGGATCCTCCTCTTCTCATGGAGACTCTTTTGATGATGACTCTGGAAAAGGTGTGTTAATTTTCACTGTGTACGAGGGGTGGTTTATGTGGGTTAACGGAATAAAAGATGCCAGTGCTTTTGAATGAAATACACACTGTGGTTCCTTTCGTTTTTGTCTTAACTAGAAGTTGTTACTTTTTGTATGTGTTTCAGGTCATCAGCGGCAGGCATCGGCTTGTGATTTTGTTACATGGTATTACGGAATCGGGATGGCATTTTTGGCTGTAGCTGTCCCTTCTTTACCATTTTTATTTGGAATCACAGCTCTGTTTTTGAGGTAATTTTGCTTTGATAATGGTTTGCATTGTGATGCTAATGTGATGATTTTGTTGTTGTGGTTTGTTTAAACAATTGGAATTTGGAAGACAACAAAATGTTGCAGGTTGCAGCATTGATTCCTGTAACTTGCTTGTGATAATGATTTCAGTGGGAATTGAAAACTTAAGTTATGGTTACATTTCTTTGGTCTTGTTTGATAGATTAAAGAGAACAAGAACTAAGAAAAGGTATTATGTCCATTTGAGCAGGTTAGGATTGATGGTTGCGGGAGGCATAGTTTTGGCATCTTTCATGACATACGCTTCAGAGCACCTTGCAATCAGGTCATTTTTGAGAGGCCTTGAAGACCGGGACTCCACACGACCAGGGATTGCATGTTTCTTATGCTGACAAAAGGCTTCAAAGTGATTATGTAAGTTAAAAGCAATGTATTTTTCCTTGTAATTCATTTAACATGTAAAATATTGCAGAATAATTTTTCAGTTTAGATTGCCTTATTTCCATGAGGTTTTTTTGTAATATTCTTTCTAGAATCAAATTTTTTTTTTTTTTTTTTTTTCCCCCACAATCTCAGTTTTCCCTCAAAGAGTTTTTATTGTCCTTGTGAGTAAAATAGAATAGGTTAAGGTTGGTCATGATGAATTGATAAATGGGGTCCAATAATAGTGGGTGCACGCCTAGATTATTCCAATTGAAAGAAACTCCATGGAAAAAAAACAAAGAATGAATCATATGGAGTTGTTTGTGTCAGGTAACGTGACACTTTAATTGTGAAAACTACTAGCTGTTTTGGAAACCGACAATGGCTGCTTGTCTTTGGAGTTTTGTCAATGATATGCTTTGAAAGGATCAAATATAACGTGACATTTTTGTTTGTTCTTTATAAGCTTTTGGGCGTATGACCCTACCCATTGTTGTAAGAGTAGAAGGTTGGAAAGAGACTTCCAAAATCAAAAGCATTCTGACCAATAAATATCGGTAAATAATCTAATCTTATAAGTTTTTTCTCACAACTTCAACATGACAGTAACAGTCAATTAGATAAGAGGGATTTATTGTGAGCAAATGAGATCTAATTGTAAGTTAATCAATTGTGAGATATTACGTTAGAGTTATAAGAAAAAATTTGAGATTGGGTTGTAAGTGTAGTATTGTCCCATTCCAAAAAGATACTTACATTTACAGTATTATTCACACCTTTTTGGCCTCCATTTTACATTCAGCAAGGCACATCATTTCAAAATAATCTTAACTTTGTTAACTATCGGATTAATATTGAACATTTTAGGTTCAATCAGTGGCGGATCCAGCCACTCATGGCCCACCTTCAATTTTTTTTTTTTAATATTAATATGTAAATTATAATTTTGGCCTACCCTAAAAAAAAAATTAATGGACAAAAATAGTAAATATAATAATAAATTTTTTTTTGGCCCACTCTAAAAGAAATTCCTGGATCGCTACTGGTTCTAATCTCAAATTCTTTACAAAATTAGGTTCATTAGATATATAACCCTTCTCTATTATGCAAGTGTCATTCTCCCACCATTGGGTGGTATGATAATAAAAGAGCAAAGGGAGGTTTTATGAGCTTTTGAGTTTGAGTTTTCTCATCCTTAACCAGTAATAGAGGTGGCAGTGGCTATTGGGATCTATTTGACCAGTAGTTTTAACTTTCAAGACCTTGAGATTAGTTGAGGTATGCGTAAGTGGCTGAACAGCTCAAGTGATCAATCATTCTCAAATTTTATTACAATGTTTATTGACAAATACAAGTATATCACGTTATTTGTATTGATACGATAAAACTATATAAAATTAGATGCATTAATACCTGATATATGATAATTTACAGTTATCAAAAGGAGCGTACCAAATTTATCAGAATGACGTGGTAATTTTGACCATGATTAATATTAATTCAAATAATCAACGGTCAGAATTGTGTCACGTCATTCGATGCATACTTCTTAGACTGTATTATTTCCCATATATATAACCTCACAATCAATGTTACCATCAAACAACTTAGCCAATAGCCACCACATGGTGAAGTCAATGGAGGATGATAATTATTCTGTTGGTAACAGATACGATAAAAAGCTTTCGGGTCACCTCCTTTTTGCTTTACAAAATCAATAAAAAAACAGCAGCTCCTCCTCCATTAGCAGCAATGCATGCACCCATATATTAAAGATTCAAAGTTTCTTCACAAACCCAATTACCTAATTTTTTAATCAATATTTAGAAGGCAACGGCAACCCACACAAAAGAAAATAAAAATTAAAAATCCTAAAGTGATATCACCTTCCATAGTCTAGTTACAACAAAACTGCATGGTATCTAAATTTCTTTGAAAATCTTTTCTTATTTATTTGTTTATTTATGACTGATATCCAAAACGTTATAATATTTTAAATAATCACCTGGGATAGTGGAACTATCGGTTAGGTGCGAGTTTTAGTGTCACCTTAGTAGCAACTGGGAAACCAATTATGCATACTTAACTAATCATCGAGATACTGAATATATAGGTGGGTACGAGCTTTAGTGCCACCTCTAATACGATCGCGAAAACTCGAACTCGAGGACCATGTTAAATTCTACTCTTCTCTTTTACCTCAAAAAATTTAAATTTGGGATATTATATTATATCTCCTCTTCCTTTTACTATGACACCATTGATGGTTAAAATCTTTTCTTCTCTTCAGTTTCTGGTGAACTGTCGCTGAACGAATCGACATGTTAAGACGCTGAACGATCCACCATTTTGAGAATAGTATTAACTTGGTTTGATGAGTCATGAACAATAGAAAAATCTATTGATGATGTTAATTTTGTATTCTACTTTTTCTTTTTGAGTTGACGTCGTTTTCCCACTGAACAAAGAAGACACATGTCAACTAACTCAAGTTGGATTAATTATCAAAAGAAAAAAAAAAGAGACGATGAAAGTTGGACTTTAGTGAGCCTCATCCTTATCCTGATGAAAGATAATTGCAGAGAGCTACAAATTTGTACCTGTATTCAAGCTCCTTTTTACATTGGGAAAAAAGATTCCATTGAAAAAAATCATTTCTTCATAATTCAAGGGGCAGATGTCCCATTTGTTGACCAACTATGTCACAAACATGAATATCTTCGAGGTAAACGACTTTTCCCCACTCAAGGTTTGCTTTAATAACTTTTCACCCAAAAAGTTTAAATATCATTTTTCAAAAGTTTATATTCCATTAATACTCAAAATACATTTCACTTCTCACGAGTTCAGCAGTTGCAAGAGCAGTTAAAGAGGTTTTGTTAGAGTAGAGGTTATGGATTGAGTGGTGGGACCATTGAATATTCGTCACCGAATCAATAGAAAATCAACTAAGAAAGGAAACCCTAACTTTGTAGTGCTGGACAATTGGCGAGAAATAGGTTCGAGTGAAAGGTTGTTGTAGGGAGAAGACCGGAGGTTCAATGGTGGTGTCGAAGAGAATTTTTGCCGCGAAATCGGCTTTGGGTATTAACAGAATATAAACTTTAAGTAAAAAAGTGGTATTTTAAAATTTTTGGGTGGGGGAAAATGTATTGAGGCAAACCTTGGGAGGACAAAAGTGTTACTATTTCTTCATCATCTCTCTCTGCTTGCTTCATTGCCACTGACAACACACAACCAAACATAAAAATGATCACTTGATCATCAATTTGACTACCTTTTGTTCAATCTCTAGCTAAGGTTATATAAGAAGGTAAATCAATAAGGATTTTAATACATTATCCCATAGATTTTCTCCCAAGTATTTGGAGTCTGGGCCGCATAAACCCGCCTTAAGAGCAAGACAACTTGTATTTCCAGGATACGATGGAATTATCAGATATCACACTGCCCAGTTTCCCATTGGAGCATGAAAATTTGAGTACCAATGAGAAAACACATTAAAAAAGAAAGTTATATGTAATTCGAACTTGAGAAATCTTGAAGTTGACTTTTAATAGATGCTAGATCACAATAAAAGATTTGGATAAAGAATATTTGCAGACTCCATAACATTAAGTTATATATTATCTGGATTGATGAGCTAGCCTTAAAACTTTTTTTTCCATACTTTTCAGAAGTCAGAAGCCCATATATTCTTCTACTGTATTATTTCTCCCATATGAATACTCTACTTCAGTTATATTCCATTTAGGTTTTCAACTCTTTCCACTAGACACCAAACTGGCAAAAAAATTATGAGAGACAGCTAATTTGTAGAATATAGTTGAACTTTTTAAATTGCAAATAATGCTCATGAATGTCGATTATCTTATGCAGTGCCAGATAGATCAGGCGCTTTGTTCCTCAAAAATCTCCACTGAAATAACTATAGCTAGCATTACTCTATACTTACCTACCAGCCAGAAACTAAACATCTTTGCTTGTTATTTAAGAAAAAATGAAGAAACCATGAGGTGTGGTCAGCTGGTAACTGGAGTCCAAGTGGGGTGAACTTACCAGCAATGTCAGGGGTTCAAACCAGCACTAGAAGCACTGAGAGCCTTGGGTACTTACCTGAGCCCTGATCGGGATTAGCCATACCTTCGGATATGGGGAACTTGAGGCTTCACCCAAAAAAATGACAGAAATTTAAAGATATATAACAAGAAAGTTAATGAACTAAAGTAATAAACTAAATGAAAAAGGAAGAAAATTACCCTTATGTTTTACAAAGATATGTAATTTCGTGTCTTACAATGTCGGAGACAAAAGCTATAGAGCACTCAAAGAAAATCAATTGTTTGGTTGCCCATATTAATATAAACACACAAATATGGAAAAGAAAGAGAAATCTGCAACATAGAAATGGATTTCAAGATCCATACCTTATTCTAATTAGTCTTATATCCTCCATGCATTTTCTGGCTACCAAACAAGTTCTAAAGGGGAAAAAAAAGGGAAAAGGGAAAGAAAATGAATTAAAAGGAGGATAACTGAAAGCAAGCATCAGACTTGCCTAGAGATTAAACTTCTCTCCTGAATATATTCAGGATAACCTTTGATTATTTCAGGCCATGGCTCCAAATTCTTCACCATGGAAGAAATTTCGCCATGAAATAATAATTTCTCCTTCTTCCTTCAAACTCCGAACATGCCATGGATGTCATCTTCATGATCTCTTCTTCTCTCTTCTTCTTTTCTTCTTCTTCTGCTCCACCGCTTAAACAAACAGCATGAGAACCACCATGCATATTTATATAAAACAAACAATATCAAGAAATTAAAAGAAAAAAAAAAAAACAATATTCAGAAACTTGAAAAAAAGAAAAGAAAGAAGAAGAAGAAGTGAAATATTATGGAGTTTGGTAACATATATAATGTAATGAGACTTATAACATTGTTTGTTCTTGGAATTTTTTGAGGATTAAACAAGAATTACACAAATAAAAATATTAATAATAAATATTAATTAATATAATAAAAGTTTACGTACATGGCAGGGCCTACTTTTACATAATTATATATACATTAGATTAAGAAAAATTAAGATAAGAGTGGGAATC